TATTGAATGGCTGTTAAAAGCATATGTCACATAGTAGTGCTGCACGATTTGATGAAAATGTGCGATTGCGATTATTGTGGACTATATTGCGATTTGCGATTGCGATTACGATATTATAAATGAATGGTGTCATGAGTCTGCTTGCTTGAATATTAAGGACAACACAGAGAATTACAATCATTTTGTATATTTTTCAACTGAAAACATAAACATGACACAAAAAAAATACAAAACCTGAACTTTACAGTATTGTATTTTTTCCCCAAATAACTTATATCAAAAAATAAAAGTTTGAAAATAAAGGTATTTTTGCAAATTTGTAAACTCAAACTCACTTCTGCAAAATTCAAACAGAGACAAATGCCTATTTCTTAACATAAAGGCATTCCTTCAAAGTGCAAAGGTTGTGTTACTTTACATTATAACTTGAAGGCCTGTGGAGGCCTTTCTCTTAACATGTAGTACAACAACAATAAAATAATACAAAATACTCATTAAATAAGACATTTTGAATCTTCAAAAAATGACATTAAAGAGGAGTGTAACAAAAATCAGTGGTTAAATTTCAAAATGGGCTATAATTTGTATCCCATTACAACTTTCTCTAAAAGTAAAAAAGTCAATCAAACCAAAAGCAATAAAAATGTCACCACTGTACATTTGTTCTTAAATGAGCATGTTTTTCTTCCACTTTGTAAAAGGGTACAACTACCACCACTTCAGAGGTTCTTTGATAAAAAAACCAACATATCCACCTTTTCTGGTTTCAGACAGGAGCGATGGGCTGATACAACATTACCGCTCGCACTGAAAGCTCTCTCTGACGCAGAGCTTGTTGCTTGTATGCAGAGATATTTCTGAGCTAGTTTGGACAGCAAAGGGAAATTTATTTTGTGATGCTTCCACCATTTCAGTGGATCTTCTTCAGGAACTACAGCAGGCATGTAAGTGTATGTGGTGAGTTCAGTAGTCACTGCATCCCTACACTGTACCAAAAAGGTAGTTGGCGTTGATGTTGTTGATGGCATGCATGTGCTGTTCTGGAAGAAACTGGCTAAAGTTTTCTTCTTAGCTTTAGCTGCAGGTGGTGAATTGTCCAAATCTGGACTATCCTCCATCACCATGGTGCGCTGAGGTTCAGGCTGCTGCTGGTGAATTTCCACCACCTAGAAGAACAAGAAGAAGATTTTTTTAATTTATATAGCACACTTTAGAATAGCTGCATAAGAACCATATCATGTCAGCAAAAGAGAAAATTGTTACTTATCACCTCAGAGACCACTCGTTCCTTTATGGTCCTCGTCTCCTCTGTGCTCATGTATTTTGCTTTGAACCTTGGATCAAGGAATGTTGTAATGTTCAGCAGGGCCTGTGTAACTTCATATTTTTCATTGAGGTATCTTAGGATTTTAGCTTTCAGTGACTTGGTAAGGTCGGTGTCCTCTTCGTCTTCGGCCAGTACAGAGGTGTTCAGAATATGGAGAATGGGTTTCAGGTATGATATGCTTACATACTGCTCAGCTGACAATGCATCCGTGAAGTCCTGCAGAGGGCTGAGAGCCCTGTTCATGGATTCCAGGACATCCAGGTCTTGCCATGAGGGCAGCAGCTGTCGTGCTTTGCGGTCAGTAGACAGAACCTTGGTCAAGGCACGTTGTTGTTCCAGGATTCTTGATATCATCTTCTGTGTAGACCCCCATCGTGTTTGGCAGTCTGTCACCATGGCATGTTCTGGGAGGTTGAGCTCCCTCTGTGCCTCCCTTAAAGCTTCTCTTTTCTTCCAGCTATGGGAAAAGTGGCCCACAAGCTTCCTGCATGTTCCAATAGCCTTGTGGGTTCGATGAGCTTCACTTTTTACAGCATTTTCTATGAAAGAGAAGAGTGAAAGACACCAATGAACCTCTCCTTTCGCCTCATGTGTGTGTGTGTGGCTGGACTTAAGCTAGTATGTGTGCGTGTGTGTAAGTGAGAGACGTGTTTATGATTTTTTTTCCTTGTAGCATTTTTTCATGATTTTTGTCAAAATTGAAATCTAAAATAGTCTGATTTTCAATGAGTGCATGGATCATTTTACATTTACACTACAGAAGTTCTACATAAAGTGCTGTGCTATGTAGGGCTGATGCAGTCTCAATTTGATCATATAAGGCGAGTTAACAAGATACAGATAATTAAAATGAACAAATAAACAAAGAAAGAGCAAACAGTAGATAAGTAAAGGAGTGTAGAAAATAATAATTAACTTACCAATAGCCAGATGGAGTCTATGGCCAAAACAGTGGAATCTTTGCCACTCATTAAGCTCCACAGCCTTTATGACGTTGCTAGCGTTGTCTGTAGTTATGATAACCTGACGTTCCTCACACAGCCCCCACGCTGCCAAAGCCTCTTTCAGACCCGAAGCGATATTCTCTCCCGTGTGGTCCTGGGGAAAATATGATGTTTGCAGGCACCGGCTTCTTAGCTCGAAGTCATCATCAATAAAGTGGACGGTCAAGCTAAGATATGGTTCCATGGTCCTGCTTGACCACAAGTCCGTTGTTGTCGAATAAAACTTGACTGTGGCCATTTCCATTTGAACCTCACTCCGCCGTTTATTGTAGAGCTCGGGGATGGCGGTCTGGGAGAAAAAGTTCCGCGAGGGTAGCCGATATCTCCTGTCCAGCGTGTGGATCATTTTTTGAAATCCCTCCTTGTTAACTGTATAAATCGGCACCATGTCTCGTGCCAAATAGTGTGTTATGGAGTCAGTAATTTCCCTGTGTCTTTTTGAGGTACTTTCGTATGGTGTGACACCTGCAAATGTATCCGTAATTGTTCGTTGTTGTGGTCGTTTCAGGCGTTTTTCAGTTGCATCTTTCACCTTACTTTGTTGGGCTTTCATTAGCATGCATTCTTGGTGTTTTTCTTTGTGGTGTTTCAGGTGTTGATACAAATTGGTGGTATTGCCGCGGGACGTAGTGACTTTACCTTTGCATGTTTTACACACCACATCTTGCTGTTCAGTGTCTTCGTACCTGAATCCGAAGTATCGCCATATAATTGAATTAGCATTTTTTTTTGCTACCAACTGTGCTTCTTCCTCCTCAGCGTCCATGTTGGCTGCTCTGCTCTGCTCTGCTGAAAGCCGGGTAGTCACGTGACTATACCTGCAGCTGCGCACAGTGTGGCTGTGGCGTCACCGTGCTCCACACCACACGGGAGATAGTCCCGTTCATTGTACTTCTGTATTTGTTTACAAAATCGCAAATCGCAGTCTTTTATGCGATTACATAATTGCACAGCATGACATCGCGATTACGATTGCGATTCGATTAATCGTGCAGCACTATCACATAGCTCCGTGAAAGATACGACTTCGGAACAATTTTCGCTTTTGTCAACAGAACCGCATGACTTCGCTACCGCAGATCTAAATGGATACAAAAGGGCGGAACACAGCAGCTCTGGAAACACCGGGTGGACATTGTAATTTGATTTTTAAACATTTTTCACTTAGTTCCCAGAGGTACATTGTGTTCTGGGTTGCAGCACTCAGCATCTCAAAGCCCTAGGGTACCGGGAAACCCATGAGAGGTAAGAGTCCAAATCTTCAGATCGCTGCCTAAAGCAGTGAAAGCTTGGTGGGAGCAGTCAAGGCACATTAAGCACATTTAGGGGTGGTCAAAATGATTGGAGAGGGCATTAAGCCACATTACCTCTCAAAATGACAGCGTTGCTTTCCAGCGGATCCATTTACACATATACCTTGGAGTGCATAGCCAATGAAGTATGGCGATTCTTGTGCAATCAATGACGAGAACAGCAACAAAGACATGAGGGAAGCCGAAGAAACAATGACATGTTTTTTACCGCTAGGTCTGGAGGCTGGGTTAAACGGAAGAGCACACATTCCCTGTGACAAAGAGATTGCCAAACCCTGCTGGCGAGTTTGTAAGGCATATTATCTTAAATAATAAAATAAAATCACCAAAAGTACACCATTTTTCAGAGCCAGGAACTCCAAAAAACAGTTTTCAGATTCTCGACAGCTGTGTCCTATTGGCAGAATGATCCACATCTAAGCTTAACATCACGATATTTCATCAAATTCACTTTCATTCTACATGTCTCAATGAAAAATTCACCAAGAAATTAAACATTTAGAGTAACCGGATTAACCATTGGTGACTCAGCTGTGACCAACAGTCCCATGATAAAAAAATAATCAGGGACTTCTTGGCTGAACTGAAGGGTGTTTCAGTTTTTGCTAAATAAATAATCAAAGAAATTTGGCTTTTGTTTTTTTCTTTTTTAAGATTTATGGCATTCCAACTGAATAGATTGTTGAGTTCTCTCTACTTGTTGTCATGGTTGTGCTGTTTCCATAAAGGTGTAGGACTTTATATTGAAGTTAAAAAACAAGCCCACGGTGATCAGAGGGTTACATGCGATTACTGTGCACTAAACCTTGGGTAATCATCTCCAGTACAAATATAATTTAGTGAATTTTTAATTTGCTATACTGAGTTTTTAACATTTTCTGGAGATCGTTTTTAGTCATAAAAGTGGCTTTCTTGCATTCATATGTGACGTTTTCCAACTGACTTGTACAAAGAATTGGTTTCTCCCTTGACTTTGTAAAGAACAAAAAGTCACAAAGGAACAAAAATATTCCCCTTCACAACTACTCAACAGTAGATGCTTCCTTTTGAGTGTGGTTACCAGTGAAAGCAGGCAGCCATTGCTGCTGCTGTCAATACTATCAGAATTGATCAAAATGATGTAATTTACGAGCTACATAAATCAATAACAACACTCAAACAATCCTCTTAACCTTTCCCAGCCAAATGCGCGACCACGGGTGGCGAGACATGTAAAAGTAGGTGATATTAATATTCACCTTTCAGCCTTATGAAACCTCCCGACAGCGACGTCCACCACACGAGCAGCTGTTTCTTCACTCCGCTTGCTGCGGCTTTATGAATCGATTTCAGATTTCATAATGGAATTTTAAATATTTATGATTCTGTGGCTGCAATGATCCAACTACGATTTTTTTTTGTGCATTGATAGCTCTGTGTAGTGGAAAACAGTGATTCCTTACTGGACGTATCAGTGAAAGTTGTAGCTGATGAGAGGATTAAGGAAGTCGGACAAAACCCAGATGGAGTCAAAGACATTAGAATGGAAAGTGCAGACTGACTGAGAGCAGCATCGGAAACTGGATTACTCGAAATCTATTTAGATTCTTTATTCAACAGAAAATGTTCCCATCACAGCCATTGACAGACAGGAACTGTGATATGGCTCCGTTTATTATTTACAACTGGCCTACAGTACCTACTCCAATTTCCACTTAGTTCAAGAGAAATTCAATTTACAAGTAATACCAGAACAACGGCATTCAATCTATGGAGGGATATATTTCTTTAAGTGTAAAATTGATTGAAAAATTGAAAGAAATCAAAATGAGACAAAGTTATTTTGCAGATGAGGAGAAAAACACTTCCATAGCACTGTGACAAACGTTTCCACACCTACTGGCATTGTGGCGCCGTTATCAGGACCGGCTGACCTCGAGGGGGAAGCGATGGCGAGTGAAAGCGAGACGGGGCACGGGACAATCACGGCTGGGCCATCATCATTTGTCTCTACCTCCTTTTCTATCCTCTTTCACCAGTTGACACGGCAAATGGCATAGCCAGCCTGTGTCACTCAAAAAGCCATTTCTGTCCTCCCAGACCCTGCCAGTGGTGACAGAATGCGTGAACGAGGGAGAGGAAAAAGGGGAGGAAAAGAACCGGCACAGGCATTTTTCAGCGTGGCTTTTTGTCAATTTCTGTGTGCTCGTCAAAAAAACGAGAGGCTGGGCCTGTTGCAAGGCTGGTTGGAGAGTCGTACGGCAGAGGTTCAGGTTGGAGTGTGAGAAGAGTGGTGGAGACGAACTGCTGAAGAGGTGCTCCATGTTGCTATAAACTAGTAGCACGGTAAAGAGTTGACATAACTGGCTGGAGGCTGCCAGGAGAGCGATAGAAGGAAGACATCTGCGCTCTATCTCCCCATCTACTTATGCATTTAATTCCTAAAGGGATGATGTAAAGGAAGAGATCCAGTTTTAAGTGGAAAATGATATACAAGCCAGTTGCATGGCAACTATGAAGGACACAGAGATCATATTACAGCCAGCTAAAATGAATCTTTCATGCCAACAGGTAGTCAGAGATCACATAATAAATGGTCTGACCCCATACAGCGGCATACAAGATAAAAACCTCTTGAGACAAATCACTGTATAATCATTCCTCAGTTTTGGCAATCCAATTCAACCTGGTCGCACATTCAATCACATAAATGGCAAGTGACGATCAACAAATGAGATAGGGGCTCGAGGAGGTGGCGCGTGATTGTGTGTGCGACAGATAGGAGAGAGGGGAGCTGATTGAATCACGCCTATTTAGGAGCCATGCAGTTCGTCTGTTGCCGGACTGCAAATGATGATTTATTGGCAAATATGATTCGTCTTTGGTTTTCTTTTTTCTTTTTTTTTTTCCCGCTGCGCTTTTTTGACCAGTCTGACTGCCCACGGTAGTTTATCCAAACAGTGTGTTTCAAATAGATGAGATTACAGCCATCGTTGCGAGTGTGCTTAGTTGGCACGCCCACCATTACGGAAGTGATACCACAAAACACAGCTCTATTACAATGAAAGGTTAGGTAGGCGGGTGTTATCATCTCTTGCTTGTAAATGTCCTCGTCTCGGCCAAGTGCATTTAGCAATGAATATGTGGCGCATCGTAAGAGAGGCACAGATATTTGGACAATATTGCACTAGTAAATGGGGTACCGACCTTTTAAGTTGAGGGTCCTTTTTTATTCCCCTTTTTTGGCTTGAGCTTTAACTGCATTTCAGGCTTGGAGATGCTGATGCTGTGATTACTTACAGCATATATACTTATTACTAAACCCTGTCCTTAAGCAGCCCTGCCTCCAAAAATTGTATTCCTATAACACTAAACTGATATCTTGTTTGTGTTTTAAGGGAACCGAACGTTTCTAATTGACATGTCCTTGCAATTTATTTTATTGATTAACTGTCATTCCTTTTTTAGCTTTATTAGATGGGGCTGTTCTCATCATCCAGAAATGAAGGAGAAGCATCATCATCAGGTGCTAGTTTTGGTGCCTAAAATTAGCCAAACAGTGACTGGAAGCTAAATATAGCTTAAGAATAATGGTCCAATACTGGACGGGAACCCCAACCGCCTACATGAAAGCTGACCCAACATGAAACTTTCCTACTCCCACACTGTTTTAAAAGACGTTTCTTTTAAAACGTAAATGCAGTTCAGTTGCATAAGAACCTAATTTGAAGCGGACAAGGCTGCCAGAACATACCACACAAGCGTCACAAGACAGCACGTGTACATTTATTCAACTTTTTAAAACAACTATGTCACCGGAAGGACAACTTTGATTCACATTGTTATTAAAGTAAGCCTTCCACCCACGACAAAGATTTAAGTTTCACACCAGTTGGTTAGCATTTTTCACTGTGACTTTGTTCAATTCATCCCTTTCTTTGTTTTTTTTTCTTCTCCTGGAAGGAAAGGAAGAAGAAAAAAAAAAATCTCAGTGTCGAAAACAAGGGCCTCTAACACCTCCATAATGAGGAGACAAGGGAGTGAAATCGGGCTAACGTTTGTGGAATAAGATCGAGCGCAACGGCAAGTAGAAAAAGCTTAAGACGGGAGGAAGGAGACTGAGGAAACTCGTCACAAATGACAAAAAAGCGTCGAAGGCGCGACGCATTTTTTTTTTGTTGTTGTTCCTCCTCCTCGCTCTGCCTCGCAAGACAGCGGAAACACGGATGCTGCTAATCAGGGCTACCTTCAAGATGGCACACTCTGACGAGATAATGAGCACAGAGATGGAAGACGCGGGAGAGGCAATGAAAGAAAAAGTTTATCGTTTATCACGCAGCAGGGTGGAGGTGGTTTGACCTGAAATACATATCAAGGTACAATTTAAAGTTCAGATGGTAACGATCTAATTTTTTGACATCTTAGCTTAAATTATTTAAATGTGTTCCTTCCACAGATGTTTTTTTTCCTCAGCATAAGGAGAGCGATGAGTCAGCCGTGAATCAGGCAGCGATTTCAGTGTTGCATTTATTTATTTTTTTTTTTTTTTTACTGCATCTCTAGGGCTAAGGCTTGTGTCAGAGCCCGCAATACCCTCTTAACCATTCCTTTAACTTGTGGACAACCCATGCCGGATTGTGAAGCGTGTGCACAAAAGGCCACGGCTCATTCACAGCTCAATAGAAAATAATACAAGTACA